TACCCATGTTTTGTCTGTTTATTATAACAATAAGGCATGACTGAGTTAAAAAAAATAAAATAAAATAAACATTAAATTACTGTTAAATTCGAATTAGTAAGAGATGGGAGGCGTTAGATGAGGTAGAGGTCAAGAGGCCTATTTTTTTTTGGATTTTATAGTGTCACTATTAACAGGTTAAACGAGTTGAAACGAGTTTATGGGTTCAACACAAAACCAGTTCGTTTATTTACAGGTTTGCCGAATTAATCAATTAATCACTTAAATCCGTTAAAACTAGGCCTGACAACTGTGTTGAGTGGAATGGTTTCATGTCGGGTGGAACGGGTTTGTGTCAAAAAACCCTCCATCCATACCTCATTCGTTTATATAAACGAATTCAACTATCACACTCGTACAATAATCATTTATTACACAGATTACTCGATACAACCCGTGTGTCACCTGCTAAATAAGAGAATAAGTTAGAGTATTTTGAGTATATACAAAAAATCATCAACTTTTTATACATTATACATGTTTGACTTGTTTACTATAACAATAAATCATGATTGAGCAAAAAAATAAAAACAAAATAAATATTAAATGACTACTAAATTTGAATGAGTCTAAGAGATAGGAGGTGTGAGATGAGACAGAGGCTGAAAGACCTAATTTTTTTTAAAAAAAAATTTATAGTACAATTGTTCATGGGTTGAAACGAGTTTATAAGTTAATTACGAAACTGGTTCATTTATTTCACGGGTCTACTAAGTTAATCTGTTAACCACCCAAACCCGCTAAATCCGTGTCGATTTTGTGAATCGTGTTTAGAATTGTCAAACCTAATTAAAGGTATATCTAAACTCACCAAAATTCGTGTCGAATTTGAGTCAATTTCACTAATCATGTCTAGGATTGTCAGGTCTAATATTTTCTATCATTGGTTGAACAAATATTACTCTCTTTCTTTTTGGTTTCAAATTTGCAACTATGGGTAATTAGAGTGGTAGATCAAAATTAATTTTTTTAAAAAAAATTGAATATAATTGATCACAGTTTAATGAAAAATATCTCATCCCCATGATTAGGTTTGACAATTGTATTAGGCCTTAGTGAATTTATGTCAAAAATCTCCAAATATATACACGACTCGTTTATTTAAATGGGTAAAAATCATAAAATTGAATACAATTTGTTTATTTAAATGGGTTACCCCAACATGACTTGTGTTATTCATTAATTCTACGACACAAAAAAATTCCTAATTAAAAGTCTTAATTTTATAAGAAATTCAATCATTTTTTTAAACTAATAATATGGCAATAAACTAATAATCAAGTGGTAACGGGTAATCGAGTGACATATCAATTTATTAAATGGATAACCAGGTTATAAACGAGTTAAGAGACTCTATCTGAAGACAACTCATTTATTACGCGGTTATGCAAATTCACCTATTTTATCACCTCGAATCCGTTAAAATTAAACTTAAACCCTTTAATTTTATGTCGATTCATATTGCGTAATCAAGTCTTGTTGAATTTTTGTCGGGCCTACCCATGATAAAGTAAAGTAAAACAACAATTTGTTGAAATTGCAACTGGTCCATAATTTGAAAGTGACAATATAATTTACCTAATTGAAAACTAAACATAATTAATCAGTATGCGGCCTCTTTAATGACAAAAAGGATAAATAAATAAAACAATAATACTAGTTGCACCACTTTGTTTATCCCTCTTGGGCCTGTTTGTTTCGATTATAACATTTAGGTGGTGATGGGTTAAGCCCAAATAGTCCAATTTATGTGTTAAAGTCCAACCCGAGGAGCCCAACCTCATTTTGATTCCACCAAGCCCAAGACAGTCCAAGACCGGTTAGACTTCTTGCTTAGCACGTCATCAAGAGGAGAGCACGGGAAGCTTATCTGCACCACCAAAGGAAACGGTCCAAATCCACTAAGTCCAAGACAGTCCAAGGCCGGTTAGACTTCTTGCTTAGCACGTCACCAAGAGGAGAGCACGGGAAG